TAATCAGTCATCGGACTGCTGAAGCTTATAGGGAATCCAAATGTTTTGGACTGTTGGGTGTTTCTGTCTCTGCCTTTGTGAAGCGCTATGAGATGACTTGTTGTTGTAAATATGCGCTATACAAATAAAATTGAATTGAATTGAATTGAATTAAAAATAATATTTGTCATTTCTCTTACATGTGCACATCAGTTTTCAGATCATTATTTACAAGGGTTTAAACCAGGAAAACAAACTAATACAGAAGGAGACAAATTTGAAAGTTTTAAAATCTGTTGGAGGAACAGGGAGAGAACATGACAGTGTTATTATCACCACAACAGCCGATGTTTGTATCCTGAGGATAGATGAGATTCCCAGGAAACCAGTCATGTCTCTGAAAAAATTCTGTTCTACACAACTAAACTGCGTTTTCAATTACATTTTGAGAGAAAACGTATTTTCTGGCGGATTATGTTTGTGACGTATCGCAAATGCATTTCAAATAAGCACATCTTTGTGATCACAGAATAAATGGGGCTGAACGCAGAGAGAGTCATATATTACCACAAACTGTGCTATATTGTCATTTTGATAGCTAAATGTCATAAATCTTCCAACATGTAGTTATTGTTGTGAAAGTGTTAACCAAAGTGTGATATTTCCCAAACCCTATCCATATAGCTGTGGTGCCAAACAGCAAGTAAAAATGAAACATAAGTCCAAGAATATCGATCCACCACAAAGCAGGAACCCTGGTCTCCTAGATGAGAGTCTTGTTGGTGACTTATGCCTCCATCCTTACATAAACTTTGTGGCTTTTTCCAAACTGGTAGCCCTTTCTACCGTGTTACATTCTTACCTCTTGTTTCTTTCAGAACTAAATTCTGTTCAATTCACACCATGAATAAGGATGCAGTTTCTTTGTAGAGCAACTTGATTTTAGGAGACAGTGTTGAGGGAAGTCCAAGGCTTTCTGAAGGACCAAACAGCAGGCCCTGATGGGGTCTCAGCTGTTGTTTTTGAAAACATGTGCAGAGGAACTCAGAACAGCTTGGGTCTCTGTCTTTCAGAGGTCTGTTTATTCACATCCTGTCTCGTCTCTCCAGTAAACAGCCATCATTAATCCTCTTCTAAAAAAACTGTTCCCCTCGAGAGTGATTATTATAGATCAGCAGCCCTGACCTCTATTATAATGAGGTGTCTGGAAAACTTGGTGGTGTGGAAGCTGAAGGCAAATATAAATGGACAGCTAGATTCTTATCAGTTTGCTTGTAAAAACAATGATGGCATTGATGATGCAGGACTAACCATGATAGTTTTTTTTTTTTTGCAACAACCCCAAGGCCTGTACCACACCGCTGCACAGCATTCTCAGTGGATGTCTGTTAACTCATATGTCTTCAGGCGGTATGGCTCATTTTTTCACCAACGGGATCCAGGTTTTTTGTCAAGGTTGTGCGAGATTCCCCAGTCTGATTACAGTTTAGACGAATGATTGTACAAGCTATCATTCCAAAACTATTATGTTTTCTGAGGCCACTACCACCTTGAAACGTATGAATGCACACACTGACCTTACCGGCTTTAGCTCAGAGGGTAAAAACCACTAAGAAAACAAAAGAAATGGATAACTCTTGGCTCCTGGTTTACAACATTAGTATCACCCAGCTTCACTCTTACAAACTGACTGAAATCTGCCCTGGAATGCCCATGTGGATTCTATAAACGCACGGATTCAACAGCAACTCTACTTCTTGCGGCGACTCAGGGTGTTTTGGGGTTGAATTGAGGATACTGAAGTTTTTTTTTTATCATGCTGCAACAGGGTACATAAAGAATCTCAGCTTGGTTTGGTTTCTTATCAGCTGAGTTTAAATCACAAGTAAAAAGACTGGTCCATGTAACAAATAAACCGATGGGGTGAATGCTCTTTAAGAAGACTGCTAGGGAAGGAAAATTTCTGCCGACTCCTCTATGTTCTGCACTCAGAATATTAACCGCTCCCATCAGGTAGACGCCACAGGGTTCCAATTAAATAAGGGAAAAGATGCCTAAATGGGCATAGAAACGCTTTCAACCCTTTATCAGTGAATCTCCTTAGCTCAGGACATGAGGTGTGATATGAAATGATGGGTTGTATTGTGTGATTCGAGTACTTGAATGCACTTATGTCTGTGCTGCACACTTTATTTCTGTTTCCTGCACTATAATTGCTGTATTTTTTAGGCCCGTGATAATTTCCCAAGGGACGAACAAAGGTACCTTCAAGTAACCTACTGCGCAGATGCATTTGATGGCATGAAAGAAATTACCTGTGGCACTGAGAAAGAATCGTGTTCATACTGTATTTTTTTCTTCTTCTTTTTACATTACTGACGCTTTTGTGTTGCATGTAGTGAACTCTTTGTTTTACATTTCAGGTTTCTTAAAAATAGTAGAAGAAGAGGGAGGATAGAACAAGAAATGGGAATTATCGCCTGAATCTGCAGCTCCCTTCAGCTTTACAGAGCTTTAAAGTGAGTGCCAGCTTTTTGTTTAGCTGCCCAGCGTGTAAATTTTCTTCTGTTTATGTGCACTGTCAAAACAGACGATAATTCTCATGCGGGGCGAAAAGCTCCAAAAAAACCCAATTTATTACTACAAATATTTCTTCAGAAGTGGAGGCAGAAACAGAGTTCACATTCGACTTAAAATCTCCATGACTCCAGATGAATAGTAAGTCTACTGCTGCTGCATGTGTGAATAAGCAACTAACTCAAAAAGGTTGGGTTTGAAACTTATTTCCATTTCCTACAGTTGACCAAAAAAAGTTAAATTCACCCCAGTTATTATAGGTTCAAGAATGAAGGTTTCACAGTAACAGCTACACTTCTTAGTCATCACTTGACAACCAAATGTCACAGCGATGAGCCTCAACTTGGCGCTACACTTTAACAATTCAGTGCCTGCTCAGTGTCAGTGGGGTTACTAGCAGGTCATGTGGGTTATGTGTCACATACTGAAGTTTAATAAGCCTGCAAGAGAGCAGAAACTTTCACTGCGTGGCTTCATTTCAAGAAATAAAGCCGACTTCAGGTTTAAAGTTGGATGAGATTCAAATGTCTTGTCTAACTGTATCTCACTGCTACAAGACACTAATGAGTAATTCATGCTAATTTGAGCTGAAATGATGAGTGGATTCATTGATTATGTGACTGAAAATTAAATGAAGCAGCAGGAAAATCATTTAGGTAATTTTCAAGCAAAAATGCCAAACGTGACTCTTGGTTTGTGAAAATCTGTGTGTGTTTTCTTTTGCTCAGAAGCAAGCAACACATCTTTGTGGTTTGGATTGCTGCCGAGCTGACAAATAAAGCAAACTGAAATTGTCACAGAGGGTTCTGGGTAACTGTGACTGGCAGTTCTCACTTTATTTTCGCTAATATGGTTTATGGATGTTGAATCAACTTAACATTTTAATCAATATAGAAAAATTAAAGCAGCTGGTGGGATCCTGGGGATAAATATTAATGCAGCTTTGTTACAATAATGTGTTCTTGGCAAAGAGCGGTATGATAAGTTGATCCCAGGGGGGTTTCCTGAAGCGCACAGTTCACACACATGAAATTTTCATCAACAGCTCAACTTAGACTTTAAAATGACCGTTCAAGGCCTCTGGGGAATCTGGATGTCTTGGGGGAGCCGAGTAAATATGGACTACAGAAGAATTTTCTGCTTTTGATTTAAATGTGTTTCAGAACTGCAACTTTTTAAATAATCTCTATTAGAACCATATAACTTTTTCTCTTTTGGATCCTTCTGCATTATAGAGATAGATAGGATTTTCTACTCATTGGCAATAATGAACGTTAGATTATTGAACATTTTGATAAAAGTTGTCAGTCATTTATTCTGTTTCATCCACTTTTGAGGTATTTACATCATGCAGTATTTACATATTGGTCAAATAATGTGGGTCCATTCTAACTGAACTTTATGTATATTTGATGTATTACTGATATAAGAACAGAACAGATCTGACACTAAAACACAACTCTTCATCATAATGTTTTTTAGGAAGCTCATGTCCTCTTTTTGACAAATGAGAGTCAAACCCAAATAACTAAATTATAGCCCGACTGCTGAACGAGATTGCTTTGTGGTATATTGCAGTTTTGCCAGTACAAGCGTATAATCTCGTTACCTGGGTCATGCTGTGGCACAAACTAACTAGATCCTACGAAGAAAATGACATTTGCCTCTGACACCCTATATGTATATGTGGATCTAGTTAAAATGAAAACCTATGAAAGGCTGAATGAAGGCTTTGTTACATTTTCGTGTTTGTTTTTTGTATATTTTTAATTACTTGCAGTATATCCTCAATTTATGACTTGTGCAGGTATAGATCCACAAGTGGGATGTTTGCCATCTCTCGCTCTCTCTCGCTCTTTCTCTCTCTCTATCTATCTGAGTGTGTATATATATGCGTGTGTGTGTGTGGTATAACTGTATATTTAAAAGAACACACACACACACACACACACACTCACACACACACACACACACACACCTATATATATATATCATCGTTTCGGAGAAAGTAGAGAACAAAACATATCCACATACATTTTTCTCTCTCTTTTCCTTTTTTTTTTTTTTTTTTTCTGTCCTCAGCATTTCTTGGGAGGTGGTATGGATGCTGACGTGAACAGAACAGCCCGGCCCCTGCTTTAATATGAGGGAAAAAGACCAGACGCAGAGAAAGAGGCTCCAGACTGGATCAGCGCGGTCGATGCGCATACGCAACAGGTGCGCACCAGAGACTGAGACTCCAGGACGCACAGCGGCACGACTCAACAGAGCTGTGCAGAAAACCCAAAAGCTTTGTTTTGTTTTGTTTGTTTGTTTGTTTGTTTGTATTAGACACTAATGTATGAAACAGACAGAAGAAAAGGATTTTCTGAAATCTTGAGTAAACGCAAAAACACTATGAGCAGGTGTGCCAAAGGAGACGCAACGGACCATAAGCCACCACTCTGAAAACTTCGTGTCATGAGACAACAGTGGAACACAGACCTCCTGTAGGTCGAGTTGGCAACGTTTCGAGTTCATCTGAGGAGGCAAAGAAACAATCATGAACTTGTCGGAGTCCGTGTGGCTCTTGGAGGAGCCGTGGAACCTGAGCAGAGCGGAGGAAGAGGAGCAGAAACTTCTATTCGGGATCGGCATGGATAATTTTATCACGCTGCTGGTTTTCGGGCTCATCTTTACGCTCGGCGTGCTGGGCAACTCCATGGTGATCACCGTACTGGCCCGGAGCAAACCCGGGAAACCGCGCAGCACCACCAACATCTTCATCCTCAACCTGAGCATAGCGGACCTCTCCTACCTGCTCTTCTGCATCCCTTTCCAATCCACCATCTACATGATGCCGACGTGGGTTCTGGGCGCGTTCATTTGCAAATTCATCCACTATTTCTTCACTGTGTCCATGCTCGTGAGCATTTTCACCCTGTCTGCCATGTCCGTGGATCGATACATTGCCATCGTGCACTCCAGAAAGTCGTCCTCAATCCGGGTGGCGAGGCACGCTCTGATCGGAGTGGTGGTGATTTGGATACTGTCTCTGGCCATGGCTGCGCCTGTCATGCACTACCAGAACATTTTTCACAGAGGGGAGAATCACACCTTTTGCTGGGAAGTGTGGCCAGATCAAAACCAGAAGAAAATCTATGTGGTTTGCACGTTTGTTTTTGGTTATGTGTTGCCTCTGCTGCTGATTTCCTTTTGTTATGCAAAGGTAAGAAAGGCTACTAAATTGGGATGTGGGTCATTCAGTAATTGCATAAATCACTGACCAAGCAAAAGTATGTTTGACCTCCATTTCCTTGTTACAGGTGTTAAATCACCTGCACAAAAAACTAAGAAATATGTCCAAAAAGTCAGAGGCATCAAAGAAAAAGGTATGTATTAAGGTCCTTTGTTGGGTGGCTGGGTGTTGGTATATGGCTTATTTTGTAAAATTGTGTTTCTGTGTTTTAGACAGATGGAGTGATGTGTTACCTGGTAATGCATCAGTTAATATGACTTAAGCAATTACAATACAATTGCAAAATGGCACAAGCTTAAGTTCAAGGTTTTTAAAAGAAATATTAAAGTACACATTGTGTAACACATTTCCACTATTATCTGCCACAGTGATGAATGTTATGATGGGAAATAATGTCAGCCTTGACACAAATTGTAAGAAATGGAATCCACATGTTGAACCATCACTGAAAACTCCTCTATTTATCTGGATGAGGCTCGTTTTATGGTTCATGAAGCTGCAGCCTCTTCCTCTGTGGACATATGGTTTGATTCAAAGCAGAGAGGCCAGGGTCGTTGGCCTTTAGGAAGATGTATATCACGGCTGACTCACAGTCCAGCACACATTATTCAGCGAGGGATGTGCCTGTCCGTACCATATGCTGCACTGTTACCTCCGATGCAGCTGAAGGAACCCGTCTCCGGTTTTCCTCAGAACCCATATAATGAATATTAGTGCTATAATGCTTGCTGTTGACTGGCACACTCCAGCAAAGTGTCTAAAAGGCAATCAAACTACCATCTCGTCTTCTTCACTCTTGACAAGAAGCAGTTATTAGCTGTCGCCTGCTTCACTACAGATAAGTCTGTCTGTCTACTTCTCTTCACAACCTATGTAGCCAGAAGTTCAGATTCCTGATCAGCCTGGAGGGGGAAAGGTTTATGAGTATGTAAATGTGCTTTGATGTGTAGGCCGCCTCTCTATAAATATGCTTTATTGCATGAGGCTGAAAACAACTGTGGGAGGTGAAACAGGAATTTCAGATGTTTTGATGATTTACAGTGTTGATAGAGCAAGCGCAGAGGGAACGTTACACTGACAGCTTTGTGATAAACGGTTGGCAAACAGTGCATTAAACCCAGACTCTAATATATAGATTACCTCAGGTAGCTACTGTTAACCTATAACTAATGTCAGAAGAGACAGTTTGCACGTACATTCAAGCTGCTGAAGGTACACATTGACAACCACAGAAGCTGGTGTGAGGCTGCCTAAATGAATGACTTTTCTCTAAACTCTGGGAAATTCACATCTCAGTGCAGATCTATTGTGCCAGTTCCAAATTATGTTTGATTTGCAGTGTGTCTGTTTGTGTTCAGCACCTGTCAGGAGAAAGTACTTATTAAGAAGATTAATGTACAGTATAGCACAGTGGAGTCCTTTTAGAGTCAGTGGAAAATGATTAATGCATGTAAGTTAGGAAGCAAATAGATCGCCTACTGTCTCATTTTCACGTGTTTTGTTAAATCTTTATTGATGCAGGTAGATTTTTTAGTGTGTGTGTGTGTGCCTTTATAAAGCAAAACCCTGTTTAAAGTTAGTGTAATAGCATTAATAAACATAAATAAATCAGTCACAGGGTCTTTTAAGACTACTTTCAAACTTTTTAGAATTGTGTAAAAACATTAGAAAAAAAAAGCTGCACTATGAAAGCTCCCTGGAGAGAAATTTCTTTCTTCGCTTCTTTCAACGGTGGGAAGTAAAGGCAAAGCTGTTGCCAGGCAAAACACATTTTCAAGGGAAACAAATTGGTATGACACCTGCACTGTCACAGGGCCTAAGATGACTCAACTCCCTGTCTGCTTTCTCCTCACTGGAACTGAACAGCTAATCTAGTTGTTGTGTTGCACTTTGTGTGTCCTGCGGTGAACCTCCCACACGATGCTGCTCCTTGCGGGCCAGCATTATTCAAAGGAGCTAATCTCAACCTGCCTGTCACCAACATTTTAACCATAGTGGTGAAATTAGGTGAATAATATGAAATGTAGTTTGACACTTTGGAAAGTAAGCCTACTCACTTTCTTCCTGAGTTCTTGACAAAAAGATTAATACCTCACTTGTATCTGTTGGCTAAATATGTAGTTACAGCCAGGAAATGCATGATTAGCGTAGCTTAGCATAAAGACTGGAAGCTGCTTGTTTGGCTCTGTCCAAAAGTAACAAAATATACCCATTAGAACCTCTAGTCTCTTAACATTGTACAAAAATTCATAGAAAACTGAGACAAACCGTGGTTGAGTCATGTGTATTAGAGTGAACACTGGGTTTTTAATGTACCTATAAAGCTATGGTGACTTCACAGCCTTTTTTGGATCTCTGACTTACTGTTTTACTGAATTACAACTCAGGCTGACTTATCTATTGTCTAGAATAATGTGAATGATATACTGTGAATGCAGCATATATCTGTGGACATTTCTTTGCCAGAAGCAGTAACTGCCAATGTGTCTCCAAATGGTTGTTTGGCAAGAAATAATCCCACACATAATATCAGCCTCTTTGAGAATGGGAATTCATACATGTTAGAAAATGTGGCACTATTCCTTTACGCCTAAACTAGGTCATCTCCAGGGAAAATCATGATTGCACGAACTTCCTGATTTGTGTCTGCTGTCTCAAAGCATGAGTGGATATGGTAAGATGAGAATCAAATGAGACATAAATAAGTTGCAGCTGGCCACATGGTGTGCTTAGTGTGAATTGTTCAAACAAGTATTTTACTAGGGTTTCTGCAGCTCCCCGCCAGGTATAGAAGTACAATGTCAGAGGCAGCTGTGAAGAACAAGGTTACTCTCACTGCTGTTGTGAAACACATCTAGACAAACTTCTTATCGCCGCCAAACACTGGCAGTGAGAATCACACAGACTCAGAAGTCATTCACGCTCTCAGGAACCAAATCTAACTGAGGGTATTCAATCTTCAGTGATATGTCTGGAAGGCCTTTGAGATAAACCTGTTCAAAATAAACCTCTTCTCACATGTGGCTGTATGTTGTGTTAAGATAAAGACAAAAAGAGACTAAAAATCCAATAAAACCCAAGTATTATAACTCCAGGTTAATGTCGTAGAGACAACAAGAGCTTTGGAGTTCATTTGACTTGGCAGACAATGAGGTTTTAATAAATACTCAATGTTGAATGGGAGGTTAAACAGCCAGCAGTTAGTGCTCAGTGGCAGGTTTAAGAGTTTGAGTCAATCACGGTGTCCAGACGGAGCACACAGATGGTTATGGATAATTATGAAAATGAATATTTGGCCAAGTCCTCTTGAAGCTGTTCAACACATCTTTAAACTGAAATCAGGGACAGCAGATGCTTTAGAGACCTGATCGTGTTACTATCCTAAACTGAGTGCTAATATGTTGTGTGAATCAATTACCTGACACCCCAAATTACACAGTGTTCACGCAGTGTTTGTCAGTGGCTTCTTGAGTCACTCGCAGCAACATTAAAGCTGCAGTAGGCAGAAAAAGGCCAGAATATGACAATGCGGGCCTCCGTCTGCAGCTCGTTCCTGTCCTCTCCAACCACACAAGCACGAACCCATGCATACGGGTTAACACTAAAAGCTGCTATTCACCTGTTGCTTCAAATGGGATTCAAACCCCTTTGTTTTGAAAAGACAAAGACCTCTGTTTAGCCCATTGCACCGCCATGTCCTCACCATTGCTCTTTAAACTGTCTCAGCTGCTCTGGGTGAAAAAGTCTGTGATTGGCCAAAGTCTCCCATCACAGCCTACATCTTCTAAAGCCTGAAAACTAAGACAAGAGCAACGTCTAGAAGTCTAGTTTCCCACTCAGACTGCCTGAATTACAAAAAGCTGAAAGGTACTATCGAATGTTTGCTGAATGATGCCAAAAATAATACTTTAAGCATTTCTAATCTGTTGAGAAAAGTAAAGTTCATGCAGGATTTTCTAATAGGTTTTTAGTATCCTTTGTAGAAGCTTGCATGTGTAGCTTTTATTGTAATATTTCCATGTCTACTCATAGCCACTTGTTTATGGAGATAACAGAAATGTAGCACCAAACAGCAAAATGAGTTCCATTCATTGAAATGCAAAACAACACGAAGAAGAAAAGTTTGTTTTGTTTCCTCATGTGCGGCTTTTGATTGTGACCACGTAAATACATTAGTGATCTGTGACACGCTGAGATGATAAATAAGAAGCTGGATCAATGTAGCATCAATACCTGAATTTGAAAGAGGAATCTTGATAGCTTTTATTTAATTATTTACAGCATTTTAGTGACAAGCTCAACAAAAGACTTAAAAGCTGAAGGGCACAAATTTGATTAGTTCTTTCTTCCTGTGGTGATGCTGCTGTTTATATTAGCCTCACTGATGGCTCCCAGTGGGGAGAGGTGAAGATATGAATGTGTTAGTGAGACTATCCAAACAAAGCACTGCTATTACTGCAGTGCTAAAACTGTGGGAAACTCTCCCCAGATACTGTCTGTGTGCATTGGACTCAGTCCAATATTGACCTTTCATCTCAAACTGGATATGGTCCAGCTGGTGATGTTATTGCCTGTAATATAATTAATAAAATGCAGTGTCATTAACATTTATTTAAAAAATGGTTCAATTCTGCACTTTGTGAGAAAGTTGAAATATTGATCGCAAAACATTTCATCAGGCCAAAATTACTTTCTCATTATTGTTATTCTCCTTTCAAGCGGAGAGCTTTCAGCTACGACAATACCAACAGTTAGTTTATGTTGGTCTGAGTTGAAAGGATTCAAAAAAGTTTTGAAAGTGTTGTTCACACCTGCATGCATTTTTCTGGCCACCTGGGGACAGTGCAACAAGCTGTAACTGCAATATTAACGTATGAGGTGTATCCGAAAAGCTCCAGGACTGGTGTCACAAAAGATGTATTTCAAACCCAAACTACAAACTATGAGTTTTTCCCGTCTGATGATCAACCAGCACGTCTACAAAGAGATCCTGCAGTGTTTGCTTCGTTCAGTGCGCGAGAAGAGGCGAGACTTGTGGCAGGACAAGTTGTGGCTGCTTCACCATGACAACGCGCCTGCTCACAATGCCCTGACCATCCGACAGTTCCTGGTTGAGAAGAACATCGCCGTACTGGAGCAACCTCCCTACTCACCCCACCTGGCTCCGTGGGATTTTTTCCTCTTCCCCAAGATCAAGGGGGTCATGAAGGGGACCTGTTTTGAAGCCGTGGACGACATCAAGATGGCTGTGACAATGGAGCTGTGGAGGATCCTGGAAGAATCCTTCCAGGAGTTCATGGCGGCATGACAGAGAAGGCTGGGAAAGTGGGTTAGACTCCAGGGGGATTACTTCAAAGGGGAAAACTTTTAGTTTGTAGGTTGGATTTGAAATATATCTTTCGTGACACCAGTGCTAAAACTTTTCTGACACACTTCGTACATGTGTTAATAATCTCTAAACTTGTTAATGTGAACGTGTCACCTCTGGTTAGTCCAAACCAATATGATCTGAAGGTGGTTTCTGGCCACTTGAGGGAAATAACTGACACTTGAGATGCCTAAGCTAGCACTTATCTGAAGCCCTTTTCATACTCAGGAAATTTCTAATCTGTTAAGCAGTCATTCATACAGAGATCACTTTTACATCAATGTTCCTCATTCCTTCATAGAGAGCCACAGTACATGTATGATATGTGCCATAGGTGTGAGATTGGACAGTATATAAAGTGATCTGTAACGGTTCTGTGGGGATCAGGCCACAAATTTTAACATCACTTTCTAGATTGCTGTTTCGCCCCCTATAGATAACAACATCCATAATCCTTATCTATTACTGCGACCGCATGTGTCGTGTTGACAATGATACGTAAATGTTGCAAGGTTCTGCAGAAAAATGACTAAATGAGGTCCACATGTTCGGATGCCATCAGATTAATAGAAAGGAGTACATGTCTGAAAGGGCTTTTTACTGTGTTTCTTACTGTGCTGTGCATACAGCAGGGACTTTTCACTGAAAATACCTCCCTTTGTCTGCTGCAAATGAGGACTTCTGACTGACTATTATTATTTAAAAAAAAGAAAAATTAGTGCAGCTTTAATAATGCATAATAGAATGATCTTGTTGTAGCTCCCATGCTCACGTACAAAACCAACAAAAAGAGGAAAGGGTCTGAGAGTCTGTATCTGAGTACAGCTGAGATATCCCTGAAAGAAGTGCTGGAACAAACAGACTGTTCATCAAAAAGTTTGTTTACCCCTCATCTCTGGATATGTCATACTTTCTTGTATCTCTCCTACTTTATACTTCCACCTCTCTCTGCCCCCTTCTCCACTCAATATGCTTTAGTAGTAAGATTTCTAATTAACTTTCAGGCTCTTCTGGGTTTTTAAAAATTTATTTTTTATATATTTTCAATAGAGATGCTATAAGTCCTGCTACTAGGAATGTAGTGAAGAGGCTTAGCAGATCAGCCAGTGTGTGATTGCTTTTTTCTTTTTTCTTTTTTATGAAGACACTTTGCAGCTGTAACCTTTGATTTTACTGATGGCCCTGCTAGAAGTAATAACATCTACCACTATCTTAGATATTGCAAAAGTTTGAGGAGCCATAATTGTCACAGTAATTCCCGTGTCTTTTATACAGACAAAGCCTTTAGAAGAAAAAAAAAAAAACTTTTCATAAAAAAAACTTTGGTGAAAAATGATGTGACAAACTGATGGTCGGTACCACTACATTGCCAGGTGTAATTAGCATATGATCCAGACTTTTTTCATTACACAAACTTTCTCTGTGGACACTGATGACACATAAAGTGGTGGAATGTCATCAGTCCATCAGTACAGGTCAGGGGAGTGTATGTGCATTTATCAAGGATTTTCTAGCTCGACTCCAATGTAGTTAGGTGCCAGCTGCTCGTCAGACCATGCAAGCTACTGTTTATGTTTGTAGCAGCTGGATAAGCCATTGCCCCCACCATTGGCATTATTTTCAGACCATTTCTCACACAATAAACTCTTGTCATTGGCAAATGTACACTCGAAGCCCCACAAGCCTTATGAATGACAAGCTGCAGTACAGTCTCTAAGCCTCATATGCAGCTCTGCAGACATATATCTAACTGGAATGAGATGTCCCCACATCATCTACAGTGCGTAACGCTGCACGAGCAAATAAATAATTAGCACGAGCATTTGCATTGGTCGTTGATTCTGATGTGAGGATTGCAGCAGTGGCAATGTCAATAGAATAATGTGATTTATGTGCTACTAATCAGCTTAATGTAATACAATTAAGGCTTATTAAGCTCTGTATGAGTGTAAAATTGCCTTCAAATGAGCCTGCTGTATCATCTTGTATAACATCATCAATTTAAAGCTGCACTAATCATATTTTATGTCAACAGTGGATCCAATTACAATGTATACCGTGGAAGGGGTTGCTGGTAGTAAGAAATCAATAAAGAATGATTTCCATGTCGGCTGTTTCCCTCGGGTCTAACATACATTTTTGCAGATTTTAGTTCACTGTTTGGTGTTTCAGCGTCGTTTCCCACTGCAGCTGGACACATAGCTGAGGGACACTAGCTAAAAAAAAATGTTTAGCAGCCAAAGAAGCAGATGTCGTTCTCAGAAGTTGGAGACAAAACAGAGCCAAAAATGGAATCTATATTGAATTTACGTTCTTGTCTTTAGACAAATAGTCCTTAAGGGATGTTAGAACTACTGACTCCATGCATTCTATTATTAGTGTATCAAAACAAGTAATAATTCAGTATGCAAAAGTTCATGTACTGTGCTCAGATCATTTCAATATTTCACATGAACTTCTATATATTTATCTACAACACCTCTGATTCACAGTCTCACTTATCCTCTCTATGAAAACCAATGTAAACACGTAGTCTTCTTATGGTAAATTGTAAAGTTTACCATATTATATTACAAGATGGACTCAGAATGAAGAATAACATCAGAATATTAACAGAGAAAGGTTCTCCAAAGTACTAACCTCTCATAACCTTCCTTTATTAATTCATTCGACGTAGAATCTAAATAATGCATGTATATGTCGTCACTGGTTTGTGACAGGACTGACGAACTCTCTCCCCTGTTCCTTCCCGTCCTCTGTCTCTCCTTTATGCATCCCAGACTGCTCAGACGGTGCTGGTGGTGGTGGTGGTGTTCTGCCTGTCTTGGCTCCCTCACCATGTCGTTCACCTGTGGGTGGAGTTCGGGACCTTCCCTCTGAACCAGGCCTCCTTTGTGCTACGTGTGGCCGCCCACTGCCTGGCTTACAGCAACTCATCCGTCAACCCGGTCATCTACGCCTTCCTGTCGGAGAACTTCAGGAAAGCTTACAAGCAGGTGTTCAAATGCCAGATCGGCACCAGTGACTCCCCGCTCAATGACATCAAGGAGATCCGCAGCAAAGCGGACACGCCGCCCTCGACTAACTGCACCAATGTTTGACTGTTAGTTATGCCAGATGTCTCACTGGAACTAGCTGTAAGTCACGGTGACAGTCTTCAGAAATGCGTGTGATTGTGATGTAGGTAAGTAGGGTTGCTATGGCTGTATTATTCCACAGAAGCGCTGTTCATTGTACCTTGACTAGAGGGGGATGAAGCTACAGTGGCTGCAGGACCTGATTGCTCTCTCTATGATCTGTCTCTGTTTTAATATCGCGTCTCTCCTAACGAAAACCTGTCAAGTCTGAAACTCAGGAAAATGGTCCTCCCTCTGAGGTGAAACTGGATTTATTTGCAGACATTAGTTACATATCACATCCTGACTCATTACAAGCCAGTACATTAATAGGCGTGATTCAGCCTTATGTAATGAAAGTTTCTGTAGTTTTACTGTCTTTTCTGTTGCAAAAAATGATAGAAGGAACATTTTGAAGAACTGTGATTACTTTTTAAGTCGTAATTATTATAATTTTAAATTCAAACTCCAACTGATCCCATCATGCTTTGGCTGCATGCATTGGCTGGTTTGGGGTTTTCTAGGAGTTAAAGGGTAGGTCCTTATTGGTTTTCTGATTCTTGTTGTGGCGTTGTAGAAAAACTGGTACAGTAGAACCACCGTTCATAAAGTAGTCAAAGGTAAACCTTTTTTAAATGCTGGAACTTGCACTTAGCTTAGCATTATCACTTCATGTTTGAAGGGCATGTGAATGAGACGACAACGTTAGTTTCACAAGACAGACTGGCGTTAGTCAAACTCCAGATATACATCTTTATTCATTAGTCTCATAGAGGTGTCTACTGGTTGAATGTCTGAAGTATTCCCATGTGCCATGAGCTCTGGGTACACAAACACTATTTTCAAACCAAAAAATCATGGTTGACTGAGCCACCACTTGCAACTACCATAGCTTATTTTATTTTATTTATCTCTATATATTGTAATTTAATGCAGCCAGCAGGTGTCACTCTCCGTGTTTCCAGTATTCAAGCAAATTTTAAGCAAACTTTTTGAATGTTGCAAAAAAATTTTTTACAAGAGAAAATACAAACAGGGCTTGTTTCCAGTAACTGTTTAGGATTGAATAATAGACTTCACAATGGTGCAATGAGGTGGTGTTATACACTACGTTACGCATAGCTGTAATAAACAGAGCAAGAGAAGTCGGGAGTAAAACCAGTTGTTTGCTAAAAACCTCCAAGAATACGAAGAAACAAACACAACTTTGGCCATCTTCAATAAAACGGAGGGAAGTCTTCAGGAACTGTTTAAAAAGGGAAAACTTGCAGTTATTCTGTGATGTTAGCAGGTAGTTGGCATGTTTCATGCTGTCTGGAGACAAAGACAACAACAACAGCAAAACAGCTAAATGTTCAGAATGTCAGAGCTTATTATGAAAAGAGGTTACCATCTCACCACTGTCTCTTTTCTTTTTCTTTTTTTTTTTTAAAGTAGAAAAGCCTCATGCAAGTGTAAAAACTTTGCCGCCAAATTGGAGAGGTTTGTTTTCTTGCAACTTTTTGCAATTGTTAAAAAAAATGCACACAAAAATACATTTTAAAAATGCAGTTACTAATTGTGATCCTGGACGCATAGCTCTTACATTAGCTGAAATGAGATGCTCTGGGCTAAAATCAAAACCAAGTTGCTGCACTAACAACTTGCATGTTCAGTGGACCAAAGCTGGCTACTTTGAAGGTGTGAAACCCAGCTTTTATTTTAGTAAATCTACCAAACTCTTTTTAGACCAATTTAGGCAAAGCGAAGACTGGCTTAACACTGCTGACATTGTCTTTGTAAGCTCCTCTGGGGACAGTTGCAGGTGAGGAGTTGTCCTGAGGTGGGCTCAGGACAGAAACCTCCCGTGGAGCAGAAGGGCAAAAGCTTGCTTGGTCTTGATTTTCAATATGAGTGCAGTGTGCAGCCATTGGAGCTCAGCAAGCTTTTTATGTGCCGCAAACAGTCCACAGTATCTCCCACTAGGGACACTAGTCAAAAGTGTTGCCTGGGAAGCTGTTGAACGGCAACATCTTGTTTTCTCTTTCTGCATGTGTTAAAAACAGAAGATGCAACTTGTGTGCGTGCGTGTGTTGGTGTGTTTGTTTTGGAGTTGTTAACCAGTTCATCAGAGCTGTGCTCTATAATGACAATGATGTATGTGTAAATAATTCATTTTTTCCAATGACCTGCCCATCACTGCTGATAAAAGGTCACCACTGTATATAGGAAAAAAGAAAACATCAGTGATTTAAGTTTGTATTTTAAACAGCTTTGATTGTAAATAATATGAACACTGAAGTTGAAGCTCTATATTTGGCTGTGAGGCTATGCTAACAGCTTTTGGACTATGCCGTGCTGTATGTTTTTGCACCCTTTCTGGAAGAAAACAATCAAACAGGAGATCCTGACGGAGTTTGTCATGTGTATGTGATGTGCCAAGCCTCCACACAGCAGCTTTACCACAGTTCAAACTAAGCAACATGAGAGCTTTATCTTGGACCTACAGTATCACATAGTATTTTGTATACATCTTTGGAAGTGTGCAGGAATGTCTGTTCTTCAAGTTTACCTGAAGAAAAAACAAAAAACAAAAAAAAAAGAAGTTACGCACAGCATGGATTTTCAGCCTGAGGTTACACAACTGTGTGTTTGTCTAGTGCAGTTTTCTTTTTGTTCTTCAAGCACCTGATGTGATTGATTAACACCGCCTTCATCCCGAGAGGAGGAACTAATCAGTGTAATCAGCAGACTATTTTCCTCCCCTGTTAGCGAGGATATCACGTCAGTGTCAAGGAATTTTCCCAGAGAGCGGAGAAGGTGGAGTTGATGACTTTGATCTCTTCAACGCTGACTGCACAGATGATGAGGCTCACTCATGCCGATGCAGGACTGAGGGAGAGTTTGAAATGAGGACAGATGCACGGAGAACCTAATCCTGGAGGCGTGAGGATCAGAACTGTTGGTTGGTGGGATTACGGTGACGCATCCTGTACATGATTGAATGGGATTCCTTTGGCCTAATTAATGTGGAACATAAAGTGTTGTTTTCTTCAAAATGCGCAGATAAAGAGCTCATGAACAAGATTTTATCATTCATTATTTTAATTTGGTGCCACTTTAGAATGCAGGCTTTAATTTACAGTGGAATAATTTAACATATATGAGATTTCAGTATAACTACTGTGTACTTTTGGACAAATCTAAGTTCAGAAGAAGAAAATCAGAGGATAGGGACTCAAATTACACTTCTGCATTTCTAGAATTACACAGTACATTTAAAGTTGTGGAGTTACTAATATGAACATAATGTACATTTTTGTTGTTGCTGGTGAACAAAACATTAGACTGAGTCCAGGAACAGTAGTGTACATGTGTTACTAGAGCTGTTAAATAGTCACTATATGTGTTTAAGACAATATCTGTGGAGAACAATCATGTAGTTTTGGAATCCAGTGAAAGAAAATCCAAAATAATCATCACATCATGGCAGCACTGCCATAGCTGGAGGTATTATGTTTTCCCTGTTCCATCCATCTCATTCTCCTGATTGTAATATATGTTAGAAGGCTCGAGTGAATCTCGTCAAATTTGGCACAAACGTTCACTTGGAGTGATGAAGTGATTGGAATTCAGGGGTCAAAGGTCACGGAAACCGAAATCATTCAGGAATTCATCGTCAATAAGGTCTAAACATGGTGATGAAGTGATGACATTTTAGATCAAAAATGTCAAAGGTCAAATCGGAACAGGCTTGGATTCAAACTGCAATTTGATTGTCTGTCAGAAGCAGAAAAAAAAAAAATCACGAGATGTTAATTTAGGTTTATTGCAGTAACAGTGTGTGAAGGCTGCAAAAAATATCACATAGTAAATATTAGATTAGCATTGTGTAGCATTATTTACTCATAATACCAAAGTACATTCTATATTTTACTAAGCAGAAGGAAAAAAAAAGTTGAAATCAATGTTAAAATAGGCTTCAAAGTTTACAGTAGTGCTTTACAGCATTTTACATATGAACATAATTTGTTGCCTCCTTGTTCTCAGTCCTTCCCATCTCCTGCTGTAATTTTTTTGCTTCATTAACTATTTTCACTGTAATACAGGCTGCATTCTAAAGTCTGAACCCTTCATTTTGCAAATATACATTTTTCAACATTTTGGTTAAAAAATTGAGTGACTTCATGCTTTAAAAAAGGCTCTTTTTTTTCAAAACATTAAAATGAGTATGCTAAAGTACATACATTTTCACATATCAGTGAGTAAGGCCATGTAATAAAGGTGCTCTCTCTTAGTGTAGGTTTCTTGTGGGATTTGCGTTTTTTTGTTGTCTTTATTTATTCATTCACTGACTCAGTGATATTTGTACAGCTTTTCATTGCTCTGCATTTTACTGAGGTTGTCCTGATGTGTCTTTTGAATTGTGTTTCCTGTAATAAATCAGCTGTGCTTTAAAAAAAAAAAAAAGACCAGAAAATATGGGGAGAAAAAAAAAAAAGTTTCATATCTTTTTAATCTTTCTGTGCTTGGAATGCAACATGTGAGGAAAGTTCTCCATATCTGGATGGGATTTTTAAATATATCCGGGCTTTTGATTGTGTCTCATGTAGTGCTGCTGATATTATAAAGTTAAATTAAACTATGTGGAATTTCCTTGAAGAGACGTTGTTTTTTTTGTTCTATGTTTTCTCACAAATTAAAATCTCACATCTCACTGAGGCATTCAGTTCTATAAAAGGAGCTTTCTCAAGCCTGAATTACACCAAAAAAAAAAAATCAAACCTCACCTCCTACGCTGTCACTTTGGGCTGGAGCCAAAAGAGAGAAAATTGCAGTGTATGTTCCCACCAGTTGGGATCCCCTCAGAGTTTGGTTTTGTTGATTACACACTAGTGGAGTACATTTCCTGGCAAATCAACCCAGTGATCCCAGGGAGCTCTAAAAAAACAGCCTGTTTACACATGATGCTTTGTTCACTTAACAGCTGGCTTTTTCAGGGCATT